ATCGTAACAAAATCTATAAAATCGTTTATCTCGGTTATGTGAATATTATTTATCATATTTCTAATAATTTATTTAATCATTTGCTGGAAAACTGAATGTTTCAAGTAGCTTCAAAAATATTTTTTTTTAATAAGTAATAAAATACTGAAAATAATCAGGTCCGTAAGGTGCATAATATTGTGCACGAGAATTTAAACAAAATTTTATGTGAAATATTTTAAATTATTATTTTATGCACAAAAAATTTAATTATTTTAAGGAATAAGGAAATAATACTAATATTAGTTATCCAATTCGTTATGGTTTCAATTCTTACATACAATTATATTGAAAATTCTTAGCATTTTTAGTATTTTTGTCACTGCATTGAATTATTTGATTTTTTAATTTTACCATACAATTTATTGTAGGATATTATGTTCACAGATGTTTAGTAATAAAAATATTTATTTGTTCTGATTGTTTGTTGAAAATATTTAAATTCAGTTCACTTATTTTATATATAAAAAATATATTGAATTAAAATCAGATTTATTTTCAAAAAACATATTTTTTTTATATTATATAATTTAGAAATTCAGTATTAAACATAAAATTTTCTAATTTGAACAAATTCATGGAATTGGAGATATTGCATGATGTTTAGTTGATATGAGTCAGTTAAGATTTTATCTACGAAACGCGGTAACATCTATCACTCAAAACGCAAAGACAACATGTGATTGACACAGGCTTTTCGCATTAAGATGAAGAACTAACTATTTTATCTGCTTTTCAAATGCAAATCACACATGTAACAGCCTTATTTTCTTTGTATTATCGAATATTGACGTCATAGCTTTTGTTATGACAAAAAAATTAAAAGCTTTATTACTCAATAATCTTGGTAAATATTGTCAACAACTCTTTTTTTAATTCGATACGACAGGAGTCATACTTAATTATTTTATTTCCGAATTATGATTCATATTTCAGTCATAGATTATAGCATTATTTGAAGAGGCTACATCAGTTATGAATAACCAGAGTTTCGATAAAAATCTTCTTATTCTCTGAAACACAGAATATTTATTTAATAGGTTTTTTGTTTTAAATGCATTGTCTTTATTTATAGTTTCAATTTGAGACATATACTTTGATTTGAAGTAAAAAAACTGATCTTTTCATAGCTTTTATGAAAAATACCATTACTTTTTTCATTCTAATTTATTAGTAAATAGTTACAGCATCTTGATGACTGATACAAATATTATTAAAATCATTGATTTTTTTTTTTTTTTTTTTGTAGTAGAATTCCAATAGAGCAATATAAAAATAATTCGTTACAAAACTGAGAGATGTATCTATTTCACTTCATTTTTTGTTCAAAATCACTTCCATGGGTCAAAAGTTTTCTGCTCGAAGTGATATTTTTATATTTTATTTTAACTCAATGTTTTTCTCAAAATTTTTCATACACTTTCCAATGACCCTTTAAATTTCACGTCGATTATTATTTGTTTGGATTTATATCAGCTTGTATAGTACAAGCATCACAAAATGAATTTCAATCACTTTAAACACATACTTAGTCTGAAAACTTTGACTCCAATTCCAGCTTGTTCCATAAATCATTTCGGTGGATTTTGATTAAATTTTAACAGTTTTGCTATTGTAAGAAGTCGATTGACACTTATTACCTCAATAGTTATATTGTGGCGATCTTGATCGCTAGAAAATTATTTACAAGTTTCAGCAGTATGTAGGGTTGTAGAGTTAATGATTGGTGTCATAATTTCATCATCAACAAACGAGTATAAATGAACAGCGTCTAAACTTCCAGCGTCCTTTAAGTGAATTTCGACCGTCGACTCCATTATCAATAAATGTTTTATGATTATGTCACTATTATTTTTAAATTATTTTTGTCATCAGCCAATTTTAAATTAATTATGTTATTGTCAGATCTAGAGTTTAAAATTATATTAAAATTATTTAAAGATTCTTCCGTATCACCATCATAACCTTTAATGTAAAAATTACTCCAATTATACTCAAACGCTACTTTTCAATCAACAAGTGCTTAAGAGAGCTAATTTTCATAATTCCTTATATCTGAAAACCAAAAAAAAATATGACTTTTACTTTTTTATAAACAAGAAAAATTTGTATTAATCACAAATTTTATTTTACACTTACCATGCTCGGATTATAATTTAAAAACTCAAGTTTTCTGTTGTAACAATTTTTAATGTGTTAGAAAAATGAATACGTTGTGACTCTAATTTTAAATATTGACAATCAAATTTAATATTTTTTATTTGTATATTTGTTGTTTTACATTGATAACACGCAAACATCTGAGTGGTTACAAAAACATGTAGTCCAAACAGTGCAAACGACATAACAATGAGTTTCGGTAAAGTTAAGGTAGATGTCACCACACGGCTCTGCTGTGTGGATTCAAAGGGGAACTCACAATAATAATAAATATGCAAATTGATAAAGATTATTATTATTATTTATCAAGAAAATATACTTATATAATTGAATATTATTTAATAGATTGTAATTGTAATTAGATTCTTTTACTGCCACAGCTGTGGTAGTCTCTTGAGAGGTTTTTCTATGTACTTTCCAGTACATATGTCTGGTCGGAAACTATAGTCCGTTGGTTGGTTGCAGCTCTCGGCGCTTGGTGGCGTCGAGGCGTTTTAAGTTGTGGATTTGCCGTTAGAGATGTGACCGAGCTAACAGTACCTCGAAAAAGTTGGTGCTAATAGTACCGCCACAGCTGTGGCTAATATAATTTAAGTTTAAACTTGACAAAATCATTACATAATTCTTATTTGATTCTTAACGTAATAATTTAATAGAAAATAATGTATCATAGTTAATAATATACTATTTAACTTTACTCTAATTATACGCAATTATACAGAACTACAAATCATTTTTCTAAATATAAGATAATTATACTGGTTGACAAAATTTCATGTAATTTTTCTCAAATATGAAAGTCATTACGCACAAGTAAATAAGTTATGTGTAATAATAATTAATTAAAATCGTATATAATGAATATGGGGTATTCCATGCCAAATCGACCACTTTTGAACTCGTCCCCTTTAGATTTAGCTGAATCTTTATCATTCTTTTCTACCCTTTGAAAAACATTTTTGAGAATTTTTTTTAATTTTTTCATCCAACCCAAAAAAAGTTATGAATTTCCCAAAAAAGTGGCTTTTATATTTTCAAATAGCCATAACTTTTTTAGACATTGACCTTTGGGTACCTTTTTTTTTTTTGTAAAATTTTTGTTTTTGAATGAACTTTTCGAAAAAATACACAAAAAAATTAAATATGATCAATTCTATAAAATAATGCAAATCCAATAGAATGCAAACAACAATAGTTTCCATTGGGAAAAAATTTCTCCGCTTATCAATTTCCTTCATACGAATTTCGAGTTTTTCTATTAAAATGTTGTAGTACAGGATATAACGGGTATTTTCGTACTCGTGCGTTAGGCGAGGACGAAGCCCGAAATAAATAATCTGGCCTACATGCTTTACCTGTTGTTGGGCGCCAGGAGCGTTGCTCCAATCACGTCGATGTCCGGCTACTCCGGTTCGGGACTCCTTTTGTCGGGTGGCGGGCCTTACGGGTACGACTTAATTATAGAGGAACGAGGAAAGTATTCGGGCTATTCGCATTAACTCGCAATTAAAAAAATTAAGTTATTAATTTATTAATAATAAATTTAAATAATTGTCAAGATTAACAAAATAAAATAATTAAACGCAAAACCAAAAAAAATAATAATAATCGTCGACGCTGTCGTCGATTCGCAGTTCGCAATTTCAAATTTTTGTCGCCAAAAAAAAAAAATACTTCGGTTAATTTCCGATCAACCAACAAAAAAAATCGTCGTCGCTCACTCAGTTAATATTAATCCATTAACGACAGAACAAAATAAATCATCACTCAGTTCACTCAATCGCAATTAATTAACTAAATAATGGATCAAAAAAAAAAATTAAATCTTCATTTAATTTAATTGATAATAATCAATTAAATAATGTTACAATAACATAACGTCCTCTAAATTTAATTAATAACAACTAATCAAAATAATCAAACATCAATCGTCGCTCAAGTCAGTTATTTTTAATTAACAACAAAAAAAAATTTGTCCATTAATCGTCGCTTAATTCAGTTAATTTCAGTTAATTAACAACAAAAAAAATTAAAACTTCGCTCGATTTAATTAAATGGTTAACTCTGATAATCAATTTGACAAGATCTAACTATAATAATTAATTTAATTAATTAGCTTCTCTTTATTCGCCAGATTTAAATAACAATTAGGTAATTGATCCGCACGAATCCGAAGCTCGATCAATGGGTAATCGACCTCGTCGATTACCCCGGGAGTAAACGTCGAATTACAAAAAAAAATGATAGTGACAATTTTAATCTTAAATTTCATACATTAGTACACAAAAGAAAACAACAATGGCGGTACCGAAATACCTCGTGGGATTACTGTATTACTGGTTGACTCAATGTAACCTTGAAATTCCTTGGCGATGTGTCACACCAAGCAACGACAAATTTAATTACGTATAATTAATAATAAAAAAATTATAATAATCTTAATAATTCTTTATTAAGATAACTCCCACGAGCTATTTATTTAAGAAAAACCGTGGCACTCACCCTGGTCGAAGACGTAGCTCTACCCCGTCCGTCGATTGACCGCACCAGGTCGCTCTCGGCTTCCACGTCGGACTATACCAGATAATGAATCCTTGGGCGAGGACACTTGCTGATTTCTCGTACACGTCGACTAGCAATCACACCAAACACGTCGTATTTTTGTTTAATTTGTAAACTTTACAGTTAACAAATTAATCAGCCACAGCCGATTGTCGTCGAGCTGTTCAATTAAATTTCGGCAAACCGAAGCGCAAATATAAACACAATAATCAAAGTATAGCACACTACGTCGTGGCTAATTAAAAGAAATCGTCAGATTTCAAACGCAAGAAATTCCAAAAATATTCTTTGTAATAAATCTCAAAATCAGACAATAATATAAAAAAATTAACCAACAAATTTTCCAGAACAGCAAAACGTGTCCGCACGCGGCAAGTCGAAAACGTGGAAGAAGAAAAATTAAGCACATGTCGCATTCTTCGTCTCTCCCCTCTTTCCTGGGTCCGTCGTTAGCTTTGAACTCCAGAGATGGCGCCGCAAGTCCAATTTCCCAATATCGACGTTTTGAGTGATGCATTGGCTGGAGCATTGGCGCGCTCGACAGCCAGTTTTCCGCCTTCACGCATGCGTCGATTGCTCACTTCGAGTTCCTCTATGTCCGTCGTTCCAGCGCGTTCTCGAGACAGCCATCCGCCCGTCGTCGATGATCTTGTAAAGAATCCACGTCGGTAATCCTCGCTGGTCTCTCTTCGCGGGTTCGTGACCGGTCATAAGTACCATTCTTACAATTACAATTACTTAAAGCTAACTTATTTGCTAAATTAAATTCGTAATCCCAATAAATTTTTGTTTCGCGCGCAATCGAGCTTCGGTCGCATTTTCTCGCGCTAGGGCGACTCGGTCGCGGCGAATCCAACCAATGGACAACAATTATCTCTAGCGCTCAATTTAAATTTTCTTTCAAAAAATTTTTAAATTCAAAAAAAAAATTAAAATTATCAACAATAAAAAAAAACGTCTTAACAGGTGGCGCTAAAAGCGGCCTGTTACAAGGAAAATTGATGATGATATAATGTGTAGAAAAGAAATTTTCCTGCAATTTCTAACTCAATTAGTTTGAATTCTAGCAAAATTGAAAGCATAAGATATTTGGAGCGTATAGGTGCTAAAGCTTAAAAATTTTCATTGTTAACACCTACTCCCGCAATCCATATTTGGAGTAGGTTGTCATAAAATCCACTCTGAGATCATTTCTACATCATGTATAAAAGATTCTTACCAAATTTGGAGTCTATAGGAGCTACAGTTTAAAAACGGGAATTTGTCATTGTTAAGCCCTCGCAAACCTCTTTAGGGGAGAAATTTCTTAAAATCCGTTCTCAACTGATCTCTACATAGCAAAAGTAATATTCCTACGAAATTTCAAGTCTCTACGCCTTATACTTCTAGAGTCATCATGATGATTCACTATATACCTGAAAATCTTTATATATAATATATACATTAGAGTGGTCCAAAAAAAAAAGTTTTTTGCCTATCATCTTAAAAGCTTCTCTAAGGTATAAAAAAAATTCCCTCCAAAGCGCAGCTTGATATCTCAATTCTTCATGAAGCTCAATGAACTTTTATTTTCCAATTTAAATAACACGTAAAAAAATGTTATTTACGTTTTTATCCGGTAAAACTACGAAAAAAATTTTTTTTTGTATTTTTCGTCAATTAATCTTGTAGGAAATTTAATTCTCTACAAAAAAGTATTGAGGTAGTTTCTTCGTAATCTTAACGAGTAAAAAGTTATTGAGCTTTAAATACTCGCACAAAAGAAACTTTTCGAAAACTTTTTTGGTAACTGCATGTATTTATTTCAAAATTTATCAAACTAGACTGTTTCTAATATAACTATCACATGTCTTTTGATGAAGTATTAACTGTGAATTATGAATAATTTCTCTCATTACAATTTGGATATTTTTTCCTATGAGCAGTGACTTTTTAAAATTGAACTTGAATTTCATTACGGAATCTAAATCAAGAGCAAGCTAGTACTTCCGGATGTATACTGAATTTAATTTTTTTATTTAAGAACATGCAGGACAGGTAGGACAGGTGAATATTTAAATTTTGAACATGATGCTGGGACGTTTTTTGACCGAATGAAAAATCATGAAACTTTGCAGGAGTACGTAACTAGAAGTCCTTCGTGAATTGATTATTTTATTTTTAAATTTAATTATTGAAAAAATAAATAAATAAACAGCTAGAGTTCGTGCGTAAAACTGCTTTATCTCAGGAGTCATCACATATTTAAGTAAATAAGATTGACTATAAAGAAATTGCTAAAAAACATACAACCAATATAATCTTTGAGACTGATTTAATTTTTTGGTTATTTCTTATTTTAGTTTATATGACTTATAAGACATAATTATTAAAATGCAGCTAGGTTAGGGTGAAAAACTAATTTTTAACAAAAAATTTAATTTACTATATATCTTCATGTAGGCCGCAAGAAAGTGCTAAAAGTAGATTATTTAGTTCAATTTTTTTAAGCAGTGGTTAGAGTATTTTCAAAGTCTGGTAATCTCCTTCAGTGCAATTTACATGTGGTTCAAATAACCAAACTGATATATTAAATTGTAATTGGTTGTCACTGGTCCAGATTGAATTACCGATATCAGACTGTATACCATGTTTTTAAAAAAAAAATATAAATTACATAATCAAATACTTGGAAACAGAAAATGTGATACAACATGGATTCTAAAATTATATTTGATTAAATTTTCTTTTATTGCGAGTATTTAAAGCTTAATAACTTTCTACTTGTTAGGACCACTCTAATATACATATAAATTTTGATACTCTTAATTTGTTCATTTCAACGAATTCTATAATAAAAATAATTATTTAATTGATCTATTAATTATGATTAAATTATTAGACAGTGGTAGAGTGAACCTAGATATCACATAAAAATTGTAACAGATTTTTTATTTTGAAATTATTCAAACATAACGTTTAGTATAATTTTTTTTTATTTTTATTTCCGAAAAAAATTTTTTCAAACAAAAAAACAATTTCACAACATATCAGGCCTAATCAGAAATAAAAATTTTTGAACTATCAAACTGGATCAGATGTGAACAGACGTAGCCATGCATGAGAAGGCCTGAACATCTTTAAAATTTGAGACACACATGATCATGGATGAACAGACATGATCATATCTCACTTCAGACTTGATCATACATAAAGAGGCATGATCATGAACACTTTCGGGCTTGATCGTACATGAAAAGACATGATCATGACTGGTTATTTTTTCCCGGGCTTGTAAGAGTTACCGTTTTAAATACTTTAATACCAAATTTCAAGTCTCTAGGCCATATGCTTCCAGAGATATCGTGATGAGTCTCTAGATAGGTCGAAATTTATTATATACATATAGATTTATAATAATAACAAAAATCTTACTATTCTTTAATTTTTCTATGTGAGAGGGTATCCGTTAGAACATCTCGAATTTTTAGGGAGTATTTGAAAAACTCCATTAAGTTAAAAAGTGTTCTTGACACATCCCTGAATATTTTGGAAGTACACAAAAAAACTCCATCCAAAAATAAAGGGTCATACAGCGCAACAGCTGTTTCCAAAATTTAACTTCACATGTAGCTATTCAGTCAACGGATTAAAAATTTTATATACATTTTATTTTTGCTGATCACATAACCGATTAATTGTGATTTTTTCAAGATAAGGGGAATGTAACATTAAAATGAATGCATTTTCTAAACACTTGAAACGTAGAAAAAACATTTGACTATTTATTTTAACCCTTCAGTACCCCCACGTTCATTTTAGTGTTTCATTTCCACTGCAGCGACGTCCTATTAGTTTAATATTCTTGCGTGAATAAAATTCTCATAACGTGGGTACTGAAGGGTTAAGAGAATGCATAAGAAATATGTAAATATAATTTTTCTAACTACCTCGGTCGAAAGTACGTGTTCCGGCTCCAATTGCACGGCAGAAAGTCTAAGTTTTATGCCGCATTGGGATTACTCATGCGCCATTTATAACAGGGAGCCGAAAGAAAAATGTAGCGCAACGAAAGAATTTTTTTTTTATACCTCGGTCGAAAGTACGCAAATTTTGCACCTTTTTTAAAGCAGAAAGTTCAACATTCAGGCATTGGTAAAGCTACGCATACGTCTTTTGTTACAGCGGGAGCAAAAACTTTTCTACCGCATTGAAGCATGTGTGAAGTTGCTTTCAGTACCCCAATTATGTTCGTTATTTGTTACTAACCGTATTTTGTTTACGCTGATTGTATATTTCATAAAGCATTGAGAATTTAAATCGTGAAGGATTTAATTTATTTAATTAACAAAATTATGTCGACTGACATAAAAAAATAATGTGAATCTTGTTGATTTATTAACTTATCTATAATATTATTATTCTTTATATTTCCCAACCATAAAAAAATGTATGTTCCCTGTTTAAAAAAAAGTATTGAGAACAATGGAAACGGAATTGAAAAGAATTGCTTTTATGATAAATCGAATTCTATCCGATTCCGTTTCTATTGTTCTCAATACTGTTTTTAATCAGGTATTAGTTAATTTTAAAAATGTTTATGTTTGTTCAATTGAACAGTTCATTGTGTTTAAATAAAATAAGTCTTTTATTTATTTACATTGGTTTCTTTGCTTTGATGCCTGCCCCCCCCCCCCCCCCGACCAGCAGCACTCGTTTCGCCCGTGCCGCAAATGTCGGGGGCAGGCATCAACTTTTGATATAATATACACAATATTTTTCGTACTTTCGACCGGTTATAAAGAAAAATAGTATACACTACACGGGCAGAAGTTTGAAATTCCTGCACTGCGCGTCATGATGCCCGAGGCGAAGCCGAGGGCATCATGGCGCGCAGTTCAGGGCTCTCAAACTTCTGCCCTAATAGTGTAATATACTATTCTTTCTTCTACTTACATGAAATATTTCATAAATAGATAGAGATATAGATAAAGATGTAACTGCCGTAAGAGTGAGTAGATCAACCAATGTAACTTATAACTAGGTTGTACTGTAGTAAGATTCAGTTTGACAGTGACGTGTGTAAAATGGATCAACTTTATTTAATTAATGAATTATTTAGAAAAATGTATGCAGTAACAACAATTTCATTGGATTTTCATCAATTATTGTTAATTTTCAGATATGCTCGTTTTTTTTTTATTCTTAACCGATAATAATCTTTATTATCCTTCGTGTCTCGCACTTCGAGATTACAAAGGTAGTATCACTACTTTTATGTTTCAAACCACAAGTTCAGAGCCTAAAAATTTGATTTACGCGCGGCTACCGGCACCTGTGGCGCCACCGCGCTACTATTTCTCATTCATTGTTTTTGTGTTATACAGACCACACGTTTAGATTCAATCGCGTTATAAATTTTATTGTTTTGAGTTTATTATAAATATTAAACACGATGGGCGGCAAGAAGAAAAGATCACGGAGTCGAGATCGTTCTGAGGAAAGAAGTAATTCGAAGAGATTGCGTAAACTGGAGGATATGATGAGTGG